CGTATGGGCGCCAACTTTGAAGCTCGTTGGGTGTGCTTTTGAACGACGCGCTATGCAAGTATACGTGACGAACCGAAATGCCCCACTCTTCGGATGAAAAAAAAGGCAACAAACGCACAAATAGCCCTAGAAGCGAGGACTGCAACATAGCGAAAGTACAGAAGAGCGAAATACGGACAGCGGCGAGACAAGAGCGGCCACGGAAGCCATGGGTGAATCACCGGTCACCCTAGAGTCCCTTATGACTTTCATAAAGTCAGAATTCGAACGCTTTAACCAGAACTGGCAGCAGCAGCTGGGAAGGTGGAACAGATGAAGGGACAGCTCAAGAAGGAGCTAAAAGAGGAGATCGTGGGGAAGCTTCTGCAGGCAGATCAAACTGAGAAGCTCTTCCGCCTGGGTCGGCTCCTGGTGCAGACAAAGCCCTCGCTCGTCTAGCAGCTACCGCAGAAGTTGAAGCAGTCACTCCGCGCAAGAAACCAGTACGCGGAGATAGGGGTCGATAGCTCACCGCGGCTGGACACCCAGCTGCACCGACCCTCAAGCTGACAGAGGCGGGGCACTTCAAGGGCATGGCTATGGTGGACATCGTCTTCCATGCAGACAGCCGGGGGTTTGTCATCCAGGCCCTCCTACATCTACGGCGCCAGCTGGGAGCCAACGCTAACAACTTCATCATTCAGGACTCGCTGATGAAGCGGGGCCTGGAGCTGAAGGCACAGCAGACAGCCACATACATTTGGCTACACGACACTGAGAAATGCGACGTCCGCTGGGTACACGGTGTTGACATAGTGGTGAAGAACAATGGGACATGGCAGCCATACACTGGACCGTGGCAGCCAAGCCATGCACCGAACGGCAACGGTTTAGCAACGGGAGCAAATGCGACATCTATCGGTGGTGCAACTGGAGCGGGTGGAAGCAGAGGCAGCAGGCGAGCGTAAAGAGGCAGCGACCACGGGTGAGAGCAGGATGGTCCCCCGGGAGGGGCACCCCCCTCCCCGGGGGGTACAACAATGGACACCGCCCAGGACGCCTAGGAAGCCAACCGGAGGTATGAACCGCTTCATATAGTCCAATGGAATATACATGGTGTGACCGACTGGAAACTGGAGCAGCGTGAACTACTTCGACTCGCCTTGTGTTACGACATTGTTGTACTTACTGAAACGCACGGGTCACTTGTGGATAGGCTATCTCGGCTGATACCTAATGGGTCATGCTGCTATCTTGCTGGGAAGTCTAGAGAACGGGGGGGTGTTTGTGTATGGGTGCATCAGCGGATCACGCGTCATGTTACTCACTGCACATCGACAGACGCACCAAGAGGCATGAACAGTGTTTGGCTGAGACTTCACGGTGAAGCCCTGAATTTTGGAGGAAATGGTTTGGTCATTGGCGCCTGTTACACTGCACCGCTCGGATCTCAGGCTTACTCAGCAAACAGACTCAGACCACAGGATAGTGTAACACGACGCGTCATGGACAGGGTGTGGACGCTGGTGAGACGATATCAGCAACCTGGGGACGAGGTTTCGTTGATGGGGGACCTAAACTCCAGGGTAGTGGAGATCCGTGAACTGCCAGATGTTGATGGGGATGCCGAGTTAGCGGATCATGTTCAGGCTGAGCTGGGGCAAGCCAACCTATTGCGTTCTATTCTGCCACTCCTTTCAGAAGACAAAACCGATAATGTGTTCGGAAGGGCCCTGGCTACCTTGTGTCAGGAAATGGAGTTGGTTGTTTTTAACGGGCGTGTCCAGGGAGATTTGCAAGGGGTGTGTACTTTTTTGAGTCCGAGGGGGAACGGCAGCAGCATGATTGATCTCTTCGTAGCATCACCCGCCCTTTTCTTCAAGTCGAACCAATTGCATGTGCTAGACATTCCTGTCACACTCACTGGCGAGAGTGTGGGTAGCCTCATGAGCGACCACTGCCCAGTGTCGCTCGAGTTGGGGGTGCTGCATGAGGGTGTCAACCCAACAAGAAGGGACAAATTTATGACACGTTTTGATGTCCAACACAAAGGCCGGTACGAGAGCATGTTTGCTGCTGCTGATGCCCCCGCTGTGTGGCGCATTTCAGATGCTGCTAGCAAACTTGGAGGCGAACTTGACAGCACCGTGTTTGTTGAAGTACTCACCCCAGCCTGTTCATCAGCTTGGAGAGGGCTTTTTGCAAACAGTGCCCGGCATCCAAGCGTGTGAGGGAAGAAAAGGATGCGCCCTGGTGGACCCAGGAATGCGCAGCGGCACACAGCGACATGCTGCTACAGAAGGCACATATGAGGGCACAGGGATTACTTGCTGATGAACAGGCGCTGCATATCTTTACACTCCTGTGCTCACGCTACCAGAGGATTAGGAAGGAGGCAATGGCTGCCCATCGTGTGTCGCATTTTACTACGTTTCTTGAGGAATGCAAAGGGAATCCGCGTGCATTGTGGCGGCAACTCAACCAGGGGGTGACACCTGATTGCCCAATACGTGACGTCAACAGCTGGCGTGACTATTTTGATGCACTATACAACGACGAGATCAACGCTTTTAATGAGGTTAGAGCGGATTGCATGATGAACCTCGTAAATGGGTGCTCACTTACAATACCGCGCAGCTGGGCTGGTGAGAGCTGTTTAGCCCGAAATCAGAGAGTAGCTGCTGCAGTGGCCCTCAGCATCCCGTTTACCTTGGCAGAGGTCATCGCTGCACTAAAAGTGCTGGGCAACAATAAATCCCCTGGACTTGAAAGCGCCCCTGCTGAGTGCTATAAGTATGCCACCAGGAAGGTGGGTGAAAAGGAAGAGGTGGTGCTTGCACCTCATCTGCTGTGTTTGTTGGAACATATCCGGTCGACTGGGGATTACCCAAGGCAGTTCGAGATATCCGCCCTCACACCCATCCACAAGAAGGGTGACACCATGGATCCTAGAAACTACCGGGGGCTTGCCGTCGGTGGGGCTTTGTCTAAGCTTTACACGTTATTGCTTGACCGGAGGCTAAAGGCCTGGGGGGAACATTGTGGTGTGTGGAGCCCTTATCAGGGTGGCTTTCGGCCACGGTGCGGCACCACTCAGAATTTGTTCTTGGTGCAACACCTCACAGACCGATGCCGTAAGGATTTTGTTAACGTCCCGGGACAAGCGTTGTTTGTTTGCCAGATTGATTTTGAGAAAGCATTTGACCGGGTTAATCGAGAGCTGCTCTGGGTTAGACTTGAGGAACGAGGAGTCATGGGTTCTGCGTTAGATGTCATTCGTTTATGTTGCTGGGCTTTGGAGGCGAACAGAGCACGAAGGGGCAAGTACCATGTTCCCAGGGGGCAGCGGTTTTGCCACTGTTGTGGTCCTAATAGCCGAATTGAGGATGAAAAACACGTGTTATTGGAATGCCCAGCCTATAATGATATTTGTGCTGAAGAGGGATTCGATCATCAACAGAGTATGTTGGAGGCCATGCAATGGGAACCCGCACGCCTGGCGAGGATGTTGGAACGTATGTGGGCTCACCGAAACTCAATTACCCCCTTTGGACGCTAGTCTGGGCTGATGTGCGGTGTTTTTTTTTCCTTTTCTCCGTGGCTTTTAGGCGTTGTAGTATTGCCCTTGGGCCTTCGGCTCGTATGGGTAGTCTTACAGGTATGGGGTCACGCACCCCCAACCATGTAACACACACACACACACAGATGTCATTAAGTGCTGCTACAATCAGGTGGAAATGCGAGTCCAGGTAAATGGAGCGAAAGGAGAGGTGATTCCCTCCACCCAAGGGGTCAAGCAGGGTTGCCCAATGAGCCCCACGCTCTTCGTTTTTTTGTCGAAGGTTTTGCAGATTACATTGACACCCTAGACGTCGCACTTCCTGACGCCATGGCGGCCCATGACACCCCTAGCGTTAAAGGACGTCGAGTGTCCCTATCTCTCTATGCTGATGACTTGAGCCTATATGCGATGTCATTGAGACGGTTGATGAGCTTACTACGGGCACTGCAGGAGTGGTCAGAGGCTTTCGGTCTCACTGTCAACGTGCAAAAGTGTGAGTTATTGTTTTTTCACCCCAATGGTCAGGTTAGAAGGCAGGTCTATGCTCTCAGCGGATATAACCTGGTCACCATGCGCGTACCTGAAGAGGGGCTACCGATGTTCCGACCAGGCTCGGGTTTTGTGTCTTGCACGGATGAGCTGTTCTCGGCTAGCCAACGGGCCATGTTCACTCTGCGCAACAAGTTGCACCGGCAGGGTCTGCTGCTACCTAGCGTCGGCATGAAGTGTTTTAATGCGCAAGTGTGTTCTGTCTTATCATATGGCTCGCAGGTGTGGGGGCCTGACCAGGTTCTCGCGATGCTGGAAAAGGGCTATACGAGGCACCGCGATCTTGCTATTTCGATGTGGCCAATGGTCAAGCTCCAAATCCTTTTCATGAAACAATTGGTAGGGACTTCTGTACCACCCCTCCAGCTTTTGTTTCTGGAGCTAGGGCAGATGCCGCTACAGCTGCACTGGGCTGAATCCGTATTTCGCTTCTGGAATAGCTTGGTGGAGGACACTAGTAGCGTATACCACAGCGCCTTTCGTAAGGAAATTCGTTTGGCGTTAGTAACGAATTTGCAGTTCGATGGTTGGGGATCCAAATTCATTCGTATCCTTAACCACCTAGAACATGACTGGGGTGAGGCATCAGTCGGGTGAGGCATTGATATGAGGGTTAGACGTTACTCGGCCTGCAAGCTTGATGTCGAAGCGCTGATGGACACCCTTAGGGCGCGTGTCAACGATGATTGGGCGAATGATAGGCTGGCTGCGGACCCTAGAGTTTTCGCTACGGACGGTAGGAAGCCCGGCGTGAAGATGTGCCGTCATAAGCACTGGATGGGGCCACCGAAGCCGTACGCGGGTTATATCCCCCCGGCGCATCATCGTGCCCTAATCCGTTTTCGTTTGTGTGTCTCCGACTTGGCGGTTAACAGTGAGAGCAACAGGATTAGGGAGCATCGCGTGTGTGCTGTGTGTTGTAGCAATGGAGCGAGAAACATTTTTTGGTAGAATGTCCGGCGATTGTGTCTGCACGTCAGAAGCTATGGGACCTCGGTGTGCCCGTCAACGCGGATATCCGTGATATCATGCAAGTGGATGATCAGCGCGGTCTTGCAAAGGCAATTTTTGAGATGTTCCGCTCCCGGCATGAGCACCTAGCTACCTAATTTTCTCGGCGATAACAGGCAATTGTGTTGTCAGGGTCAAATTGACGCTTTTCTTTTTCATAAACACTCGACTTCTTCTCGCGTAAACCTTTCTTTTTCTGTTTGTTTGTTTGTTTGTTTCGTTTACTTTCCCTCTTTTTTTCCCTATCGACGGCGCTGTCAAAGGGGTTCATGAGCCTCCGGGTTCGTTTGGGCCGTACGAGCTCGCTGAAGCTTGTAACATCCGTCCATCCATCCGCCTACAGCATAATTAAAAGTTACACCCGTCCTTATTGGCAATGACACTCATAAACGCTATCGTCTGTGCTTGTGTCCTCGTATGGATGCATGTTGCAAGCTTCAGCTGAGCTCGTACGGTTCAGGCGAACCCGAAGGCTCATGGACCGCTTCAATCGCACACGAAAAGCTTATTCTGTCCTTGTTGCTGACTCGCTGTCAGTATAGCCAAAGTTATTATTCAACGGTCAACCGCTCAGTCGTGGTTGACTCCAATGTTCACTGCCGGGCGGTGGCATAATGATACGCTGGAAGATCTTTTGCGTCACAACCACCATTCTAGATGTTATAACCAGGCAACAACAATAGCACTAGAAGATCATCGTCATATCATAAACGGCCGGACATAAATATTTGCAAAAAAGCTGCAATAGTAAACACTACAAGTAACTAATCCCATTGAATTACAGGTCCTTATTCTGATATTCTGAAATTGACTAGTGATTTATCAGCTACAAGCACGGTTAATTGGGTCCTATCCATGCTTCTTGCGCGCATTTCTGTCAGCCATTTGCCACAACACACATACCCGGCTCAACCTGTTGACCTCTATTCTGTTAAAGTTTTGACTCTTGGACGACGGGCCACCAGCAAGCGCCATGCTTCGGCGGCGGTCCCAGCTGGACGGGCCAATGCTGCTGCTGCAGAAAAAGACGTGGGAAAGGCGAAAACTTGGGGCATTGAAGAGTTCGGATCTCTCCAGGCGAGTAAACGTAAAGCTTGTGCTTTTGTCGGGTATCCGCCGTTGTACCGCACAGAGAAGTACGAATAAGTTATCGCAAGTCAAGGGCTTATACGCAAAGCAACGTCCGAGCTAAGCCGTCTCGAGCAGCTCAATTCCGCGGGGCCCTTACCCTTCCCACTTTATCCAACCAACCTTGAACGCACTGGTCGCCGCATGCCCCTCCATCCCGCCATCGCACCTGACATGCTTAACTCCCCGTTCACAAGCCATTCCCACAACTTCCCCTCGCCCTTCCATTACCAACTCCCTACTTCTCTCGCAGAAAAATGCCTCTACCCGACTTCACCGCTTCTACGTACCTCAACCTCTGGGTCCAACGACCAAACCGCCCTCCCTGGAGTCACTCCTGAGCCCCACTTCCCCCGAAACACCGGCCGCCGTCAAGCCGCCGCTCCCACTCCGTGCTCCCGCAAGCGTGTCCGCAACTGCATCCCCACCTCCCACCGCGTCCGCTCCCGGAATCACAACGGCCTCGGTGCCCGGCGGTCACGTGTCCCCCGCCTCCGTCGTCCTGGAAGGTGAGGAGGCGCGCCATGCAGCTCGCGCCCTTCGCCTCCAGCTCGGTGACTGCGTGGAGCTGTGCGATGGGCGGGGCAACCTGCTGCGCGGAGTGGTGTCGGGCTCGGACAAGCAGCGAATGTGGGTGAGTGCTGCCGGGCAGAGCTTTCTTGATGGTGGTGGATTGGGGTCAGGGTGAGGGTGAGGTGGTTGAGGGTGAGGGGGTGAGGGTGAGGGGGTGTGGACTAGGGTGGATCCGTACCCTGCACGTGGCTTTCCCGTTCCCGGGGGAGGGCGCCTCCCTGGATCCCGCGTCCGTCTCCGCGACCGCTGTGGGGGCTCCGCTGGCGTCAAGTGGACGGACAGAGACAGACAGACAGACAGATAGACAGACGGATAGGCAGCAGACAGATGGACTGGGGCGCCCCATCCAGAAGGTATGTAACCTTGAGGTGTGGAAGTGCGCTCTCCGTAGCCCCCGTTCAATCGTTGAGGCTTGAATCTTGAATCTTAAATCTTAACTCAACTTTCTGGCACCCCCCCCCCTCGGGTTGAGGATGTCGTGAGGTGAAGGAGAAGGGGGAGGAAGGTGCGGGAGTGAGATTGTGCCTGCCACTGTGTCCTCTCCGTTTTGCCGTACAGGTGGCGCCCGATGGGCCAGTCGTACACGTACCGTGGCGTGGCAGCCGTTGGGTAGTGGCGGTTGCATGTACGACGCTCAAGGGGGGCCGTGCTGAGTGGCTTGTGGAGAAGCTAACCGAGCTGGGCGCATTTATGATGATCCCTCTGGTAACGGAGCGATCTCAGGTAGGCATGACCGGCCGGGGATGTACCGCCTTCTTCCCCAATCGCATTTCGGTTCGTTTCGGTTCGTTGCGTTTGATTGCGCTTGTTCCGTTGCATGTTTTCCGTTGGGACGGATCTGCATCACAGGTCAAACAGGTGACACGCATTCCAATATGCCGAGACACATAACTGGTTTCGAGCTCAAGGGCGTTTCCGTATCCTCCGCCCGGCTGCCCACCACGACGTTCACCGTGACATTCCGCAGTCCGTCCCGAACTGTGGGCTATCTATGCAGCTCATGACCCCGTTGGCCACGATACGCCACACACCTCCATGTAGCAGTGTTTTTTGTTTAACATACTGCTAGCACATACATACATACATACATACATACATACATACATACATACATACATACATACATACATACATACATACATACATACATACATACATACATACATATCACATACATATCGGTAGCTCAACATCACCATTGGTATCATTTCCATAGCTGTCAGCACTGTCCCAATACTAGAAGAGACATAGCGGACTGAAGTCACTGAATGGCTGCAGGCGAGCGGCAAGGCGAAGTTTCGAACCCGTGGGTCCTCCAACGCGCGCAACAGCGACGGCGGCGGCAGTGCAGCGGCGGCCGTAGACGGCGGTGCCGACACGGCCGATGGCGACTACCAGCCTGGGCGCCTCGAGCGGGTCGCTATTGCGGCGACCAAGCAAAGCCTCCGCCCCCACGTGCTCCACCTGGCGCCGCCCACTGCCCTGGCGGATGTGTTGCCGTTAGTGCAGAGGTGCACGGGCCGCAGCAGCAGTAGCAGTAGCAGTAGCGGCAATAGCAGTACTGGCAGCTACTGTGGCGGCAGCGACGGTGATGATGACGGCCCGGGAAGGGCGGCTCCAAGGACCGCGACACACATCGCGTCCCGGAGCTCAAAGCCGCATTTTCCTGCTGCTGCTGGTGGTGTTGGTGGTGTTGGTGGTGGTGTTGGTGGTGTTGGTGGTGGTGTTGGTGGTGTTGGTGGTGGGCAGCCGGAGGCTGGTGAGAAACCCGCATCGGTGGGGCCCTCTCCGGGGCGAGGTGGGGAATGCCGGGAAAGGCTAGGGGATGGAACGTTGATGGCGACGGCGGCAGAGGCCACTGCCAGCGGCAGCGGCAGTGATGACGGCGGCGGCGAAAGCTTCTGTCTCATAGCGGTGGCCGGCGCGCCCCCGCTGGCAACGGTACTCGGGAGTTTGCTGCGGCGCGCTACACCGGCGGCGGGGTCGTTATCGGTTCTAGGGGATAATACCCTCACGGGTGGTGGCCCGCAAGGGCCCGTGCGGAAGCGCGGGTGTGATGCGGCGGGGGAGTCTGAGGGCCCGCTGCGGGTGCTGTTCATCGGTCCGGAGGGCGACTTCACGCCGGCTGAGCTGGCAGCGCTTGTGCAAGCGGGTGCGAGGCCTGTGGGGCTGGGGACGAATCGGCTGCGGACGGAAACCGCAGCTATTGGCTTGCTTGCAGCATGTTTGTTGACGGAGGATGAGGGCGCTGAGGATGAGCTGCGTTGGGCGTAAAGGGATGGGGCGGCAGCTGTGCGAGGAGGATTGTATTTTGCAGATTGGGTCACGGGCGGGCGGGCGTTTTCCGTTGCACTGCGTCTAACGGAAGGGGCTGCTTGCAAACAATGCCAACTGGAGTTGGCGTGTGTTCTTCTGGTACAAGAAACATGTTTCTCCCTGTGCGATGGCAGAAGTGGGAAGTTCCTTTTAAGGCATCTTCGACTTTCGTGGCACCCTACCCTCAGGTGTCCGTAAACTGTGCACATCGTCTTATCCTTGTCATTAAACAACAAATAATAAGACATAATAGATGTACATCAGAGCGTAAGGATCTGTATAGTTGAGGCGCTACTGAAGAATGTCTACCGAGGAGCACCAGGTCAACCTGTATGCTCGTTACGAACAGCGGCTGCTATCGGGGAGTCTCTCAAGGCCACAAGGTATGCTATTAAGTTGTGCCCTCTAGCAAACAGGAGCGGCGCAGGCGCCCAAGGAACCACTTATATAACTTTCAAATAGAGCTATATAATATCTCTATTCACATTATGATCAGCACAGCTGGCCCTCATGTTTGTGTTCCTAAGAGCGACCCTTGGACCATGCAAAAGTGCCAGAGCCCAAAACCCAAGCTGCGGTGCCCTGATCCCCTTCCCTTTGGCAGTGATTCCAGCAGTGGTAATTACCGGCTTCCTTGGAAGCGGCAAGACAACCCTAGTGCATCACATACTCCGCAACAGGTATATACATGTGCGCTGCGGCGGGCCGCGATGTTGTGAGAGCATGAACACAAACACCACCAACGTTACCATCCCCAACCCGCGTTACAGGGGTGACCTGCGCATCGCCGTACTAGTCAACGAAGTCGGGCAACTGGACGTTGATTCTCAGCTAGTCAACGCAAAGCAGGTCCGTCGATGGATTGAGTACATGTGGAAGCAGCTGCTCATCCCTGACGCTGCCAAACCCCCTCTTGCATTACTCCTCCCCTTCCCCCTCCCCCCATCCTCCTCCTGGCAGCAGCTTCAATCGTGTGTGGTTCGTCTTTCCCTCCTCCCCCCGGGACACACGACGCCTCCGGCTCCCTCCCCCCTCCCCCGCCCTGGTATCTCCTCCATTCGCCAGTGGTTCGTCTTACCTGCCCCGGCCTGTTGCGTCCTCAGGGCAATGCCGCTCTGGGTCTCCCCGCCGTGGACCTCTCCGGCGGCTGCGTGTGCTGCTCCCGAGCTGAAGACCTGGCAGAGGCGCTCAGGACACTCAGAGCGCCGCATCAGGCCGCTGCTGGTGCTGGTGCTGGTACTGCCGCCGGGACTCGAGGGGGCTGGGGCCTCGGAGGCTGCTCCTCTTCTGCGCCTTGCGACTACCTGCTCGTTGAGGTGAGCGGGCTGTAGAGGATGAGCGGGTGTGGGGCTCCTCTTCGTCTTCCGCTCCCCAGGTGTCTTTGGTACAGGCTGCCGTACATTTGCGATTTGGCCTCCCGCACTTCCCCTCTCTTACCCGAGCGGGCAGACGTCGGGGGCTGCTGATGCGGGCCCCCTGGCGGAGGCGCTGGTGGCGGGTGGCTTCCGACTGGATGCGGTGGTGGCGGTGGTGGATGCGGAGGCGGGCAGGGAGGCGCTCGCGCTCCCGGTGGGCCGGGCACAGGTGAGAGGGTGGGGAGTGGATGGCTCGGGTGGAGGAGGGGCCGGCCTCAGGTGCGCCCTTAGCTACCGGTTTTGCAGTACTCCTACTGTGTGCGTGTCGTACGGGATTGCTCGTCCAACTTCCGTGCATGCGGTTGTAGTGATGTGTTGTCCGTTTGTTGTGCTACATGTATGGCTGTAGATCACCAGCGCGGACGTGGTGGTGCTGAACAAGTGTGATCTTGTGTCGCCCGGGATGGGGCCGGGGCAAGGCGGAGGTGGAGGTGGTGGTTTAGGAGCGCTGGCGGACATGGAAGACTTGATTGCGGAGATGGCGCCGGGAGTACGGATTGTACGAGCGCGGTACGGCGAGGTAAGAGTTGCACACCGCATCCCTTCGTTTTTGCGTAATCCTGTTTTGTTTAGTTTTTCCTCTTTGGCGCTGTCAAAGCGGTTCATGAGCCTTCGGGTTTGTCTGAGCCGTACGAGCTTGCGGAAGCTTGCAACATGCATCCCTCCCTCCCTCCCTCCCTCCCTCCCTCCTTTGTGTTTGTCTCGCTATCCAGCTGTCTCAGCTGTCTACATTGTATGCGTACTAGGGCCCCTGCCAGGTCATATCATAGGTTCATAGCTGAACCCAGCACAGCGTAGCATAGCACAGCACAGCTTGGGATGTGGTTTAGCACAAGGGCGAAAGGGATCAGAGAAGACGTGTGCCTTGGGGACGTGTATACGACAATACTCACCCCCCGACGTAGATTTGAAGAGCCTCTCTCTTCCCCTGCTTTACTGCTGGTTCCCCTAGTATTGATTTGTCAAGAGCTGTTTGCGACGGCCGTTCGTTGTTTTTGCTGCCTTGTTAGGACGGCCGTTCGTTGTTTCTGTTGCCTTGTTAGGACGGCCGTTCGTTGTTTTTGCTGCCTTGTTAGGACGGCCGTTCGTTGTTTCTGTTGCCTTGTTAGGACGGCCGTTCGTTGTTTCTGTTGCCTTGTTAGGACGGCCGTTCGTTATTTTTGTTGCTTTGTTAGGACGACCGTTCGTCGTAAGTCGCAGCCGAAGTTGAAGTTGCAGCTTCCTTTCCTGTTGCTTGTTTTGCATATAGGTTAGGAGGCAAGAGAGAGGAGAGAGCGATTCTGCAGGACTGGCTTTTTTCCTGCCGTCCCAGCGGCCATGTCGAGAAGTTTTGCGCCTCGGCCTGTTTCAGTCTTTTGCCGTACGAGGTTCAGTCACGTGGGTCTTCTGAGAAACGTTCTTCTCCTTTCCGCTCCGAAACCCCAACAACCATCATCATAACCACCATAACCATCATCATCTTTACCCCTAACTTTCCGGTCGTCCTCCGTTTTATCCCAGGTTCCACTGACTGCCGTACTTGACGTGGAGCCCGTGGGCCCGGGTGACGGCGACACTACCAGCGGCTTCGTGACTGCCGTAACGGCAGCGGCGCCGGCGCCGCCGACTGCGGTTAGTGGCAGCGGCGGCGACGGGGGTGGGGGCGAGGTAGAGGGCTACATGAGTCACGAGTCCGTACCCTCCCTTGTTCCAAGGGGATTTGGATCTGGATCTGTTTTCGGAGGGCCCAACCGCCTGGCATCTGGTGTGTGTGTGTGTCTGTCTGTCTGTCTGTCTGCGTTTGTCTGTCTGTCTGTCTGTCTGTCTGTGTTGTGTGACTTCTGATATGTCAGTACTGATCTACTCGCTCCTGCCGCCAGCCTAGTTGTTACCTAGCGTCACCTCGCTCCACACACAACATCCAACTATCTCACCTTATGTCAACGGTTTTCGCCAACCACCAACCACTAACCATCCGCCCGCCTCAAAAAACGCTCCATGGATTCCAAGGTGCGGGCTAACCCGCCTGCCTCACGCTGCCCTCCCTCCCCCGCCGGGGCCCTCGCCTCCCATCCGCGGCCAGGTCCCCGTACGGCTGAGGGCATGGCGGTGGGCAGTTCCCGACACACGAGGCGCCGTACACAGACCGGATCCACCAGCACCACTACTGTCCCCACCGCCATCAACCACCATCACCACAACCACCACCACAACCACCACCCGGGGTCTACTAGCCCTGGCCCAGCTACCAGTCCGACGGACCACTCCTCCCTGCACTCGGGGTTCTTCACTGAGTCGTTGCGGGTGGTGGAGGGGCCCTGCAGTCTGGGGGCGTTTGCGGCCTTCGTACTGGAGCACCTGGTTCCGGAGCCAGGTGGGGGGCTCGCCCAGCTGCCCGGGCGGGTCCTAGCGGGTTTTGGGAGTTTGGGGTTTAGAGAACTGTCCCGAGGTCTGTCGTACGTGTGGGTTCGTAAGGCCGTTCCGTCCGTCTGTATGTGCATCAGGTCGACAGGTCCCACCCTCTCTCCCACAACTCTAAAAACCTGATTTAAAGCACCGAACCCATTGAAATCCTAGAATCTAAAAATCCTATTTTAAAAATCCGGATTTTCTATTTCTCTGTGTGTGCGCGTGCATGTGTGTGTCTCTCCAGCCCTGCTGCGCAGCAAGGGCGTGTTGTGGTTCGGGGGGGAGCGGCGGCTCCACCGCTTCATCTTCCACCTCAGTGGTCGCCGCCGAGTGGACCTGGCGCAGGAGGGGCCGTGGGAGTCTCCACCTGCCTCGCAGCTGGTGCTCATAGGCACGGATGCGGCGGCAGTGAGGCGGCTGAAGGAAGCCTTCATGAAGAAGGTCGCAGTAACTGCAGCAGCAGCAACAACAACACCCGCCAGGCCATTGGCGTCCATCAAAGCGATGGATGAAGGCTTCCGACGTGGCGGGGATGCTAGTGATGAGGGGCGTCGTGAAGGTGGTGGCGGCGGTGCGGTGGTGGTGGCGGCAGAGGCGGCGGCTGCGACTGGCGGCGGGGTTTCGGAGCTGCTAGCGGCGGCGGCCGCGTGCATTGAGGCGGAGGATAGGTTGGAGCTTCTGGGCTGTGAGCTCTGGGGGGAAGTGGCGGCGGCAGCGGCTGAGGTGGCGGTGTTAGTGGAGGCGGGCGGCACGGAAGGTGGCGGCGCTAGTGGCAACGGCGGCGGCGGCGGCCGAGGACGCGGTGGTGGTGTGCTGCTGCATTTTACAACACTTGGATCACCCCTCCACGGCATCAACGCGGAGAGTCTCAACGAGGAGCTGATGCGGAGGGCCAATACGAGCGGGCGACTGCTGCTGGTGGCGGTGACGGCTCCAGGGAAGGTCAGCTCGGTCACCCACATGCAGTCCAGGGACAGGTAAGCAGCGAGATGCGATTGCATGCAACCAGATGTGCGCTGCGCCTTTTTAGCAATTTAGAAGGTTTTCTCAACCCATTTTTGAGGAAGTGCTTTATTTACTAATCTTACGAGTTAGCAGTACAAGGAAATAAGAAATAGGTTGGAAGGAGGGACGGGCGAAAGGAGAAGGAAAGGAACCGATTAAGCTTTCGGTTGCGCACTTCTGCAGGATTTTCGATTGTGAACCGCAGTAAGCTGAACGAACTTTGGGTAGCGTCGGATTCCAGACAGAATGCAAAGTTTGCGTTGACATACCGTAGTGCTACTTATAGTTCGTGATCGCTTTGTTCGGGGAGGGGTCAAAAAACTTTCTGAAAATTTGTACGTGCTCTCTGAATTTCGGGGAAGGCCGGACCAGATTTTGCGGGCATGATACAAAATTCGGGGCCCCTTCCAAAGTTTCGGGGCTTTTCAAACTGCAGCTTCCAGTCAGTCTCCCTCCACCGGGAACCCTTAGGCTCATGGTCTCTCACCATTTTCGCACTTTGGAAACGCCCTAGCAAATTCTGGACCGATCGTACAGTTCAATACCAGTGGCAACGACCTAATAACCAGCCGGCCGGGCCAATACAGTGTTTGGGTGGTTGCTACTGAAACGCCGACGTAAAAGGCATTACGACTAGGGTACGCTAGGCTCGCGCTAGCACGCTAGCAACCTCCTCGTGCTCCATTCGCTCACGCTGGGCCTCGACAACAGCATCATCAAGCCTAACTGGTGCAATCCAGCTCGGTCGCTCACCGGAGCGTTTGGTGCTAGCGGTTTCATCCCGCATTGAAGCAGGGTTGCCTGTCTTGCACGTTTTCCAGCGTTGTTCATGTCCTACGTTTATGACTATTTTTTATGTATTTAAGAGCTGATTTCCGCCTTGAAATCCTAGTTTTTGCGAAGTTTGATCGACCGGCTTCGGAGGGTACGATATTTCGGGGCTGCGGTCCCTTGGGACACCTTAGAATTTGTACGTGCTACATATTCGTGGTGCCTCCCGAATTATTGTAGCACGAACTATAAGTAGCACTACGGTATAGAAAAAGGGGCGATGAGATTGTTCAAGGCGATGGGCTGCGATGTGCGTCCAATCGTTTTGAAAACCTGTAAAACAAGAAATAAGACAGGAAGTAAAGAGTACGTGAAAGAAACAGGAAGTTACATGAGGAGCTAAAGTGTCAAGCAAGGCAACGGCCGATAGCTTCGATGGTGCCTTACAGCTGCGACGAAAAGACACGAATACGCGGCCTCGTTGGGGCGGCCTCGTGCGGTGCGGTGCTTTCCTTACATAAATCGTGGAGGCAAATGCCCAGGCAGGTGCTGGACTTGCAACTGCGTACGTTGCGGTTCCATCAGCGGCGTCTAGGTGGTTGTGAAATCCACCTCAGTCTGAGGAAGGGTGTCATTAATGAATTACGGTGTGGTCTTGCTGCGTTGGAGGGCTGGGGCGAGGCTTAGATGCGGCGAGGTGGGGATCGGGGCATTAGTGGTCGGAAGGAGGGGGAAAGAAGGAGTGCCGTGGCTTAAGGCAGATGGTGCTGCTCTTAAGCGAAAAGGCCCTGCGGCGATTTTGAAGAGCAGGCCAGAAGTTGCCATAACCGGATGAGCAGAGAGTAGGGGACCAGCGAGCAAACTGATAACGGCTTTCCGGGCGCCATCTGTTGAGGGCAAGATGCTTTGCGATGGCAAGATACATGATTCTCCCTATGCTTATGTTTCTTTTATTGGAATCGTCTAATATTATTATTTGTTAAAACCTTATGATCGTCGCATAGAGCTGTCGTTGGGAGGATTTAGAGGTCGGATGGAGTGGGGGAAGTTCTGGAATGCCAATTTTTCGGGAAAATCAGGCTGATCATGGAGGGAAAGAAATGATCATGATAACGTGCGCGAGAGGAACGTGGAGGTGTTTACGAGCCATGCGTGCACGTTTGTAGGGATTCCTAGATAATGGCAATCCTAGCGCGCAATTTGCCTCTCGGATATGCACTTTATACCTTTTGACAAATTTGGTAACAAAAAATTCTGAGTGGAAGTTGGGTGTCCTCTCGGAAACTTTCCGCTTTTCGAAGTCCTAAAGTGCCGGTAAGTCCCTGCCTTTCCGCCGGAAAGTCGCCCGACGTAGCGCCATAAACTCCGAAGTTAACAGTAACGGATTTCCTAGGGAACCTTACCTTCAAATTATGACATCCGAAATCGCAGGCGCCCTTCCTTGGCTGGCACTTCCGATTGAAAAAAGTCGCAAGTTGTAGCCCTGACAGATACCAAAATTGAAAAAAGGTGTATCTTTGCAATATACCCTGACCGACCCATATCCCCTCCTCGCGCACCCCGCCTGCTGTGCCCCTGATTTGCCGCCCGCAGGGTCCTCTCCCTCCTCCTTCCGTGCAGCCTTGCCGACGCCCAGGAGCAGGCGACACTGTGTGTGAAGAGCTTTGCGGGGCCTCTATTGCGCAAGGCCTACGCCCACGTACATAACTGCAAATGCGACCTGGCAGCGTCCATGCAGACATTTGCAACATGATGGATGTCAAGATTGGCTTTATAAATGCTTTTCAGTCGCCTTTAGGAATGGTATCGCGTTTTTGCAGGGACTACATTCGGCAGTTATTTGGCAACGTAATGCATGTCGGCCCGGATTTTTTGCGAAATATCAGAAAGTAAGCTGTAGATGCGCGAAGTAAAGATAAAAAGTTGGAATGGGCCATCTTTCCTAGCTCAATGACGCGCCAGCGTGTTCCATCAAAGAGTTCCATCGTGCATGTCGAATGTTCATTTCTGTAGCTACAGGCAGACGACACGTTGCAACACCACTTCTGTCTGCTCTTTTTTTTTCATGCGTCTTACCCGGAATATAATTTTTTTTATAAATCTGTGAGCAGGTCTCTGTACAGGATGTTACTGTAAGTCTCAGGTGTCTGACGTGGACGAGGCGAATGTAACGTATCAGGATATCCATCGGGCTTTTACCCGCGCCTTTCCCTGGAAGCCATCTGCAAGTGGAGTTTATTAAGCCTGACGAACTAAGTAAGCGGAAATTTTTCCTGCGCGGCTTGTGTCCCAAGAACGGGCACGCACCCGCCGCACAGGAAGGATACTGGGAGGTGAAGCGTCCGCTCGGCCAAAGCAGTTGACATATCACCTGTAAAGCCACCCGTGCCGGATAACACGTGGCTGACACGTAGGGCATATTTGGGAGCGCTAGCTACAGCGCCACATCTAAGATTTTCCTGCTCCGCTTCTGGTCGCAGAATACAAACCGCACAGTTGCAATGTTTCAGTATGTCGCCGAAATTTCCAAATTAATCAGAGTCTGTCCAACATAACGCCAGTGTTCAAGCAGGGCACAGGCCTTCTGCCCTCGCACACGGCTCCAAAATACGTACAGCCGCGCACCGTCGCGGGCTTGCAGTACCTGCCCAACGAAGCGCCCCTGCACTCACGCAAGATTAGCATTCATCACGCGCAACAAAAGGAGGTGCAATTCGCGAGCAGTAAAAGCTGTGGAATTGACATAGAAATGCGCTTCCGCAGCTGCGTAATACAGTTCCCCATTCAGCGGGCAGACTGGCCGGTAAGCTGACTCAGCAGGGACGTTGTGAGCCTTTTCAACGCCGGGTAGGGACTGCCGCAACAAACAGCCGTCCATCCGCTTTTTCGCCGCTTCCAGGAGTGGTTGTTTGAGAAGTGCTGGCACCAGACCCTAGGATGAACGCGGTGCATATATCACACGCTGCCGTATTTTGTCCCTTCGAACAAACATGCGCTTTTCCTTTCCTCTCGCACAGGTGGTTGGGGGGAGGTAGTTGGTGGGGTTTAGCCGGCTCGTACAACCTTTTTCCTCGCTGGTTCGCTCCCCGCTGGCTCCTGTCGCTCCCCGCTGGCGTCCCGGTACGACATCTACCATGGAGAACGCACTGCCTGGTAGACACTCGGCACAACAGATGCCTCAGTCAGAGGCTGCTGGGCGGTCCCGAAGAATGGCCTCTGTGTTGGGTTGCTTCACCCTGGGAGGCAGCGTGCAGTCCGATGATCATATGGATGAGGATGGCAGTGGCTGGGTCTCCAGCCGCACCCGTATGCCCCTCCGTAGGGCCGCATCGCAACAGGTGCGCCGCTTACCCGCCGAGCGGGCGGTGCCAAAAATGTGCACTGTGCAGCGGGCAGTTTCCAGTTTTAACCATATAAATATCAGGTTGCATGGCTGTGCTAGGGTAGTATGCGTTGCCGAAGGCCAATGTACGGTATAGCAGCAGCCTAGCAGCTTAAGGGGCTCCTAATAGGTTGAAGCAGCCCCTATACTCATACGCCTGCAACATGGCTTGCCAAATCACGGCCGAGAAACCGCGAATCCTTAAGTGTCTCGTGCCATCAGGCATACACCACCCCCCTTAGCAAAAGCAGCAGCCCCTTCATGAACTTTCCCACGCACACGAAAGGTGGACGCCAACCCAGCCGCGCCACGATTACCTCATGCTTCATATATCCACTACAGGATTTTAACGACCCTGCAGATAGACAGCAAAAGTCACTTCCCGGGCGGTGATGGCAATGGCCGTAAGAACTGCGGCCACGGCCGTGTCGGAATCGGCCTCGCACATCAGGGAGCGGTGGAGGGGTCCGCAGCAGCAGCTGCACACATCTCCATCTTGCCCCCGTCGGCCGGCCAACTGCATGCGGCGGCGGCGGCCACAGAGGGTGGCGCCTGGGGCGGCAGTGGCAGCGGGCTCGCCACTGCCGATGGCCACAGCGGCCGCTGCCGTAAAGCCGGTGGGGCCACGGGTGCACGGCTCCGGTCGTACCTTAGGGCGATGCTCACCGCCGCGCGAGTGTCGCCCAAGGCCCCGGCCCGGCCGCCGCCGCCGTCGGCCCCACCTCCGCCTCCGCCTCCGATGATGTCCGCACCAGCAATGGCGACCTCCGCACGAGCGACGGCAGCGGGCAGTCAATTTCCACATGGTTTCGGAGCGGCTGTTGACCAAGAGATCAATGGTTGCATGACTAGCACATCCGGGCCAGGTACCAGGGCCCACTGCCGGGCGAGGGACAGGGGGGTTTAGGAGAGACGTTGCGGGATTGTGGTGGTTGTCTTCCGGACAGCAGCAGGTGCAATGGAGCTTGATGCTTCGACCTGCGGCCTTTCTTGAGGCTTGCAACATTAAACATGCGCCTATCACATAGTCAGGACCGGATTTACATGAACGTTAACAGCTCAATATCTCCTTCATCACCACACGAGACTAGTACCATGACATGTCACAATTAGTACACCTCTTAGTCATTAGCTGTACCGTGTACGACATTCTCTTGCCAAGCTCTTGCATGATAGTCCACCCCCCGATATTATGTCCCCCCACATGTTGCCGCAACACTTCCTCGCCCCTCGCGGCGCAGGCGCTGCAACACACACGCTGCCGAGCGGTGCTGCGCTTCCCAGCCCCTTCCTGCTCGCCTTCACGACGCACGCCTCGGTTTCGCGGCTGTTGTCGGATGTGGGTTCAACGTCCGTTCAACCCCTTGCTGCCGGCGGCCATGCGGCCGGCGGCTGTAGCAGCTCCCCTTTGGGAACAATAGCAATGAGCAGTAGCGCCCCCAGCGGTCAACTTCATACCCATCGTGTCCTTCTCCACGGCAACCGTTCGGGTTCCGGAGCTGCTTCATATCTTGGTTCTCTCGGTTCCGGAGCCGCCGGCGGCATGCTGAGTGGGGACAGCGTGGATCACACAACGCCCCGAGACGCTCTTTTCAATCTGACGAGGCTGAACGGTACGATTGACCGCGACATCGACGGTGAGCTGTCGACGGTTGGTTCCATGAACAGTACGACACAGTATCCGCTGCCGTTTCTTGGCTCCAAAACCAGCGGCCTCATAGAGGAAGGCGGTGTTGGGTTCACCGAGTTGATGAAAGGCGCTGCCTGGTGCAATCCCGGCGCCACGACGCCGGCAATGGCAGGCGCGGGGGTGGACTCTATTATGAGCGGAGCTTGTCGTACCGTCGGCAGCGCCGACGGCACAGCCGGCGGCGACTTTTACACCGCTAGCGGCGGCGCTGGAGTGTACGGCAGTTTCCCTCTCAGCAGAGCTGTTTGTGACGCTCCTGGCACGTCGTACTATCCGCTGCTGAGCACATCTCACGTCAGGTGGGTGGTGGCCGGGTAATGGGTGGTTATGGGGGGGGTGCGTGATGTCTGCATGGGGAGTGGTGTTGGGTCACTTGCTGTGGTCGTACACATTCAACCTATTACTACCAGGTCATGCTTTCAATGGCCGTACCTGCCTCCTCCAGCGTCGTCTCCTCATATGTCCCACCGTAACAGCTCGGCTACTAGTAATGCTGCTGCTGCTAGTGGCGGCAGTGCTGCTGCTAGCAGTGCCGCTGCTGTTGCTGCTAATCGTGCTGTTACTGCGATCCTCGCACGCACTGAAAGCGGCTTCCGCGTCCGTTCGCTTTGCCTGCCTTCACGTCCTCCCTTTTCCATCCACCATTCCTTCCTTCCATGTAAGCTCCCTCCTGGCCTCGCGACGCCTCTGTCCCAGGGAAGCTGGCGGCGAAGGCCCCTACCCACCGGCTCTCCTGGACGGGTCTACTGACTTGCTGCTTCCAGCAGCTGGGGGCCCCGGGAACCCCGGAGGAGGTCGGAGCCCCGGGCGGGCTGACGGCTGGGTTCCGGCCTGTCGACACAGTGCCTCGGGTACTGGCGCCGTCCTGTCGACCCCCCCCAGCGATACGCCGATACAGCTGTCACCACTACCCAGGTTCCGACGCACCTCCTGGGGCCGCATCCGATCCCTGGGAGTCAGGTGCGCGTGTGTGTTTGTACGTATGTCGTCGTACGTATGAGTGTGTGTTACACCTCCTGGAGTTGCGTAACCCTCCAACGGTGCATGCCCCGGGGGCCCATACCTTCAGCTCTGAAGCAGTGTTTATTTTTTTGGTAATATATTACTTTTTTGGGAATAAATGGGGGTCTGAGCCTGGAAGAAATGGAATAATTGGTCAGTTGGCCGTACTGGTTCATTACTTCGGCCATAAGTCGCCCCAAATGCCTTCTCCACAGATAAAGCTGAACATCTGGAGCTTATACACTATTTATATATAAAATATTTGATGATATCACCATGAGACGGCCCGCTGTTGCATTCAACTTAGGTCAACGGGGCATTCGTTCATTCTTGACCAAAGCAAAGGGCTCAGAAAGTCCGCAGACGCAATGCCCCAAACATTTAGAAGAAGAATTAAATAATACAGAAGACAAGGATAGGCACTTCGTAGTTGCCGCTCATGAAGTCAGGA